TAAAATCTGATTTGGACATAGCTATCTGCATGCAAGAATACAAAGAACTCTTATGAAGACAAATGTAGGGTTTTGTCTGTTGGACTTTCAGAAACAGCCACTTACTTAGGTTCTTAAGTTTCTGGCAGCTCTTCAGGCCACCACCTTTTCATTGTACATGTCCTTCTTGGCTGGTTAAGGCCTAAGCTGCAGCTGAGGCTAAGTGAACTTTTTTCCATCTGCACATGATATAAAGAGTGAGATCTTTTCATTTGGATGTTGATCTTGTTACACTTATCCATGTCTTTTGTCTGTTGAGACTAGATTACTGTAATGCACTTTGCTTGAGCCTACAGCTTAAACCACTGAAGTCAGTGCAGAATGGGACTATCCACTTATTAAGATCATAATGAGAGCTCATAAAACCAGTGCTCTGTAAGCTGCACTGTCTCCTTCTAGGTTGAATTCAATATGTTTATCTTGACCTATAAAGCCTTACATGATTTGGGACCAAGCTACTTGAGAGTGTGGTTCTTCTTATGCAATATTGCAACAACTGATAATGCAAGATTGTCCTTTACAAAAAACTGACTCTCATAAATCCAATCCTGGAGAATTGCGACCTCTTCATGAGTGCACTGCGCAATACCTCCAAGACAGTGATGGGCAAACTTTTTGGCCCGAGGGCCACATCTGGGTATGAAAATTGTATGGCAGGCCATAAATGCTCACGAAATTGGGGTTGGGGTGCAGGAGGTGGTGAGGGCTCTGGCTGGGGGTGCGGGGCTCTGGGGTGGGACCAGAAATGAGGAGTTCAGGGTACAGGAGGGGGCTGGGGCTGGGGCAAGGATTAGGATGTGTGTGTGGGGGGGTGAGGGCTCCGGCTGGAGATGTGGTTCCTGGGGTGGGGCTGGGGATGAGGGGGTTGGAGTGTAGGAGGGTGCTCCAGGCTGGGGCAGGGGACTGGGGCACAGGGTGGGAGTGAGGACTCCGGCTGGAGGTGTGGGCTCTGGGGTGGGGCTGGGTATGAGGGGTTTGGAGTGTAGGAGGGTGCTTCAGGCTGGGACTGAGGGGTTTGGAGTGTGGGAGGGGGCTCCAGACTGGGGCAGGGTATTGGGGCATGTGGGTGTGGGGGGTGAGGGCTTCAGCTGGGGATGCAGGCTCTGATGTGGAGGTGGGGATGAGGGGTTTGAGGTGCAGGATGGTGCTGCAGGCTGGGATTGAGGGATTCGGAGAGTGGGAGGGGGCTCTGGGCTGGGGCAGGGGATTGGGGTGTGGGAGGGGCTCAGGGGTGCAGGCTCTGGGAGGCGCTTACCTCAAGCAGCTCCCAGAAGCAGCGGCATGTCCTCGCTCCATCTCCTACGCGGAGGTGCGGCCAGGGGGTCTGCACACTGCCCTGTACACAGGTGTCGCTCCTGCAGCTTCCATTAGCAGCAGTTCTTGCCCAATGGGAGCTTGGGGTGCTTGGGGTGGGGACAGAGTGCAGAGCCCCTGACAACCCCTACACGTAGGAGCTGGAGGGGAGACATGCCGCTGCTTCCAGGAGCTCCAGGGCCAGATTAAATCAGCTGGTGGGCCGGATGTGGCCCGCAGCCATAGTTTGCCCACCCCTGCTCCAAGAGGTATATACATTGAGGATGTAGAACTGAACACATACCAGGGTTTACTCCTGTGCTAACTGCCAGATATAAAAAATACCAACAAATGTTCCAAAGAGATCCTTTCTCGGAAAACACTATCACAGCAGGGACAGCCCTAGCTAACAAGCTTCAAGAAGAAAGGCAACAGAAATGGAAAGAATTGATTGAAGGAACACTAGCAGGAAGCATGGTTGACCATTCACAAGTTGAATAATGATCCGAAGAGAGTAGAGCAACACCACAGCATCACAGCCAACCTAGTGGCACACCAGCTTCTGCTTAATGGGAAAGCTCTGAACAAGCAGCCTAAATATTACTTATACAGCAAACTGATCTGGAAGAAGATCATTTCAGCACACCATACACAATAGATGAACTCAGTGCCAGAATAAGTCATTTGAAGAACGACAAAGCAGTTGGACTCAAAGACATATGCATGGAGCAGATTAAGCATTTTGGTTCTGCAACCAAATTATGGGTATTACGCCTTTTTAACAATTGTCCATGAATTAGAATACCTAAATTATGGTGACGAGCCCATGTAATAGCTCTATTGAAGCTGGGGAAGGATGCCTCTGACCCAAAAAACTTCTGGCCAATATCACTTTTATGCCTAGAGCCCTGCAAATCCACGGATATCTGCTTTTGCGGATATCCACAGACCGTTTTTGAGGATCGCGGATTGGATGCAGATACAAATTTTGTATCCGCACAGGGCTCTGTCTATGCCACCTCTATAAACTTTTACAAACACCTCATTCTCAGTCTCCTCTCACCTCATATTGAACGGCATCTAATATCTGAACAAGCTGGATTTAGATCAGGAAAGTCCTGCACTGACCAAATATTCAATATTAACCAGCATATAGAAGATGGATTTGAGAGAGGGATGACCACAGGCACTGTGTTCGTAGACCTATCAGTAGCATACGATACAGTCAACCACCAAACCTTGCTTGCCAAAGTCTTTTTTATGTAGAACTGTGCAAGAAATGGAACCACTGGAGATGATGATGAAATGGCCTCCCACAGGGCAGTGTGTTAGCACCAATCCTGACCAGTGACCAGCCCATACAGAGCAATACAAGGAGCTTTATTTTTGCCATGGTCTATGCATCATGTCACAGAAGATGGACTTTACCACTGTCAAGAATAGAATGATGTGCACTGAGCAACCTCCCAACTTATTACAATAAGCAGCTTCGTGCTAACCCAACCAGGACACAGGTGATGGCCTTTCACCTACGCCATCGAGAAGCCAAGCGGAAACTAAATATCACCCAGGATGGAATCCCACTGGCTAATCACCTGAACCCTGTCTACCTGGAGATGACATTGGACCTGACACTTTCCTTCAAAGCACATGTAAAGAAGATGAAAGGAAAAGTTAGTGCCTGTAACAACATCCTCCGAAAGTTGGTCACCTCAAAGTGGGGAGACAATCCAGCTACCTTGTGAACAACTGCTATCGCTTTGTGCTATTTCATAGCAGAGTATGCATGCCCAGTGTGGGAACGATCCGTCCATGCTAAGAAATTAGACCCTGTTCTAAACTACAGTTGTTGTGGAATAACAGGATGTCTAAAGCCAACACCAAAGGATAGCCTCTACTTACCAGCTGGCACTACGTCACCTGGTATCAGAAGGACAGTAGCAAGCCAAAGGGAAAGATTGTGACAGATGGAAGATCCAAGGCATCTTGGCATATGGTCACACAGGAGTAATCAAACACCTTAAATTGTGAAAGAGTTTTAAAACCTGTGTTGTGCCTTTTGATACAACAGCTCTAAGGCACAGTTGAGGTTATGGAATGAAAGACAATGCGAGTTGGATCCACTGAAATAGATCTGGAACCCCAGGAGGTCCTTCCCGGAGGGGAGGATACAGACTGGTCAATGTGGTGATGCCTGAACCGCCTGTGCATGCAAACTGGCTGATCAACTACTTTTAATATGATCAAATGGGGCTACTCTAATGACACGAATATGCGAATATGGTGAGGTGCAAAATATGAAGCACTTGCTCGTTTGCCGACTCTTTGGGGTGACCTGTACAAAGGAGGATCTTGCTGCAGTGATGGAAAGAGCCATTGCTTGTGCACGGTTCTGGAAAAACATCTAGTTTGTGACAAGGACACGAGAAGAAGCAGAAGTGCAACATTGGAATTCACTTACCCTGTGGGTCTGCCAGAGCCCAGGTCTGAGCAAACTGAAAGGCCCTCTTTTCTCCTGCACAGTTAGAAAAGGGGTGGAATGAGGATTTGATAGGTTTATGGATGACTGATGTGAAGAGAGGATTGTTTTTACTCACCAGAGAGGTTAGTCCACACTAGAAATTTGTATGACAGTATACAATACTATCTATGCTAGGGCACTTATAACCTTATAGGATAGGTACCTTTTGGACTGTATGGATTGAAATAGCAGGATAAAATAACAAATAATAATAGCCATCAGCCTGCTGGGAGATGTAGCTGACCAAATCAGTTACTCCAAATAACTGGAGTCCCTATTCTGATGGATAATAGGGTGCCATAGGAGGGCGGGGGGGGGGGGGGAGAGAATCCAGCACACCATAGAAACACCCACGAATAACACAAACCATCAGAATAAAAAAAGCAACGCCTTCAGAATAAGGCGTTTTGCTTCCTCTGTTAATGTTTATTTTGTGTTTTCACTGTATGGGTTTGTTGTGGGGGAGAGATCTGGGACCGACCTTGTTCGTGACCCTTGTTCAGAGGAGACATTGAGTCACGTTGCCCTTTTCTGCAATTACATTGTATGTTTTTAAGGCACTGGGCTGTCAGTCCTGGCTCGCTGGGAGAGAGACCCTCTCCTTGGGAATTGATTTGCTTTGTCTTTCACGGAGATCTTACACATCATTGGTGCAGACATTTAAAAAAAGAAACCCCTCCTCCGCTCCTATTGTCACATCAACGTCAAACAACGTCCTGCCGCGGGCAGGAGCCAGGGCCCAAAGCCAGACACCCAGCGGGGGCGGAGCCGCTTGTCCGAGCCCTGCTGGATGTCTGGGCGGTGGCTTGCCCGGCAGCTTGGCACAAGCCCTGCCCCCGAGCACCCGGACCTGGGCGGGGAGGAGGCAGGGCTCCCCCGCCGCCCGGAAGGAAGGGAGACCTTGCCTTGTCCCGTGATAGCAGCCTACGGTCCCGGCGGCAGGCAACCCGCCGCTGCCTCTCTGCCGCCCCGCACAGCCCCGCGAGGCCGAGGATGGCCTCGGACGCCCCCGCCACCCTCCCAGTCCAGCTGGCGGAGCAGCCCAGGTGGGTGGGTGTGTGGCCTGGAGCCGGGCCCGTTCGGAGAGCAGGGGCCCAGCCTGCGAGCTGGAGCGGCCCCGGCCCTAGGGGCTGCGGACGCTGGACGCGGGCTGCAAAGCGGCTGCGTCTCTCTCGGGCTTTGCCGGGCAGCGGCCGGTGCTGAGGGCGCGGCAGCCGTCCCCCGGTGCAGGCTGTGTCCGGGCTCTCCTCTGTTCCGAGTGACGGCGAGTGTCGCTGAAGGGCGCCAGCTGCACGGTCCTGGACCCTTTCATTTGTCCCCAGAAGGGTGGCCGGCCTCTCTACGGATAGGTGCTGGAACTAGGGTGCAGGGGTTGCTGCACCCCTTGGCTTGAAGGGGTTTCCATCATATCCAGGGTTTACAGTTTGGTTCAATGGCTCTCAGCCCCCCCAATGTAAACATTGTTCCAGCACCGCTGACGGTAAGCACAAGGAGCCACTTCGGGGGGCTATCCTGACTCTGATGGACCTAACCAGCTTTTCCCCCAGAATGGGAGGAAAGTCACTATTAGTGTGACCAGGCACCCTCAAACTGCTGATAGCCACATGGAAAGGGGGACTTTGTGCAATCCATCATCTCTTTGGGAGACTCTGGCAGAGGAGCCATCAGTGCAGATCCCTCTTCCCCCTTCCAGATGGGAGAATAAAGGGGGAGGAACCTCATAACCAGTTCAGGTTTCCCTGTTCCCTCTTCTGCTATGGCAGTGGGATGGCAACCCAGTCCTTGATCTTTCTCTCCTTCCCCACTCCAAGCTCCAACCCTGTCATCCCTAGGAATTCCAAACATTGTAAAGCCAACCCAAAAGGCAGTGCAAAGTTACCCCACATCACCTTTCCAATATTCCTTAACGAAAGAGGGACCACCTCTCTCCATGCCCCTGTGTCTAAGGCCTGCTCTGTTTGGAAGCGTTATCAGGAAAGTTAAATCTCATTGTGCAGCAGAAGAATGCAGGGAAAGTCCCGTAAACCTCTGATTTTATGTTAGCATTCAGAGAAGAGGTGTGTTCTAAATTGTTCCTCCTCCTGTTAGATTACACTGCATTTCACTTAATTTTAATTCACATCGTTTTGAAATTTGCCTGTGCAAAGCTGAAGCAAATGGGAGTTGTGTTGTTCAGCAACTCTGAAAAATCAGATCTGATTTAGATCTCTAAATGGAAGCACCTATGTCAACATTTTGGTCAAAGTTTACAAATAGATGAGACTATTCTTGCTTACAAAACACATCTTGGGGTATGTCTACTCTTACAATGCTACTGCCGCAGAGCTGCAGTGCTGTAGTGTTTCAATGTAGACATCACCTATGCCGGCGGGAGGGAATCTCCCATTGGCATAGGTAATCCACCTCACCGAGAGGTGGAAGAATTCTTGGGTTGACCTAGCACTGTCTACATAGGGACTTAGATAGGCTTAACTATGGTGCTGGGGGGCTGCAGTTTTCATATCCTTGACTGATGTAGATAAACTGACTTAATTTTCTAGTCTAGACCAGGCCTCTGAGAATAAATTAGTCAGTATAAATCAATCCCAGTTACCTCTGTTTATTCTTAGGCTATGTCTACACTGCACTTTCTTCGTTAAAACTTTTGTCACTCACAGGTGTGAACCCCCCCCACCCCCCGAGTGACAAAAGTTTTAACGATGAAAAGTGCTGGTGGGGACAGTGCTTCGTCAGTGGGAGATGCTCTCCCGGCGACGAAGCTACCCCCCGTCATTGGGGGTGGTTTTATTTTGTCGCTGGGAGAGCTCTCTACTGGAGACAAAGAGCGTCTACACTGTGTACCTTACAACGGTGTGACTGTAGCAGCACAGCTGGGCCATTGTAAGATACGCAGTGTAGACATAGCCGTAGACACCAGCACCACTATCAAAATAGCTCTAAGCCAAAGAGACATTCTGGATACAGACACACAAGGAAATACAAGCATCTCACATTAACATAATTTCTAGCATTCTGCCAGCAAATTTCCCTGTGGACAGAAGCATATTTGCAAGAGGCATTTTCATGATTGTGATCCAAAAAAGGGGTTGTGGAATGAGATGGCAAAATTTGCAGATGACAACAGGAAGATAGACGAGTCAAGACTAGAGAAAAGTGCAAAGAAATTAAGAAATAGACATGGGAAAATGAGAACATTTAGAGATATAATAGGACAATATTTTCTTCAAGGCATAAGCCAACCAGCAAATGAAGAGGGATAGGAAGAATCTTTCCCTCTGGACACACTGTCTACCAGGAGGTTTCTTGCATATCTCTCCAAAGTATCAGATACTGTTCACTTTAAAGACAGAATACTGGATTAGGTTGACCCCGGGTCTAATCTAGCAAGGCAATTCCTATGTTTTCATTTGTAAGCAGTCAAAGTGGATTAAAGTGCAGAAAGGTCTAATAAATAATTCACAACAGATGGTGGTCTCCTGTACAGCTTTATGACTAGAGAATTCTTGATTTGCTAAAATATTTAGAATATGGTTCAAGACAATGGTACGAAGTTTACAAAGGGATACAAATTAAAGTTAATCTAATGTGAAATATCATATCTTTTTTTCATTGCTACTCCTGCTCGCTCTTTGCATTGACTACATTTGAAGTTCCAGTCTAGGGCTAAAGGTAGAAATCCTTCTAGGGCATGCTACAGCATTTGTTCTTAGGAAACTGGCTACAAAATACATTGAATTGGCTAGGTCCTTGGGAGCCACCCATTTCTTCAGAAACAGAAAGGTTTTTGAAGCAGTATAATAGCTGTTTCATGACATTATTTTTAAAGATTGTTTCTCCTTTATCCTACTTGACTTCTTGCACTTCATCTTTTTAATTTGCTGCTGCCTTTAAAGAAAGTTAACGGGCTGCTTTGTAACCAATATTACTTCAGTGCTGTTTTGATGTGAACTTACTATCATGTCTGTAATTACAGCTTCTCGTGCTGCACTAGGATGATGACTTAGCCCCTTCTCATCCTCCAGCTGCCCACTCACTGTCCTTGGTGTGATACTCAGGGAATCACTTGTTTACAAACACAGGAAGGGAGATAGCATTCTTCATAGTCTTATTAAACAGTGATTTTTCAGATCTTTATTTCCAATGAAACTTTCATGCTATTAGGTAAAACCAGAGGAAAATTTGAGAAAACCATTTGGGACAGTTGCTGAACCACTGTAAGAAGGTATTGGCTGTATAAGTCATGGGGGAAATATAGGCTGATGCTTAAGACATGGTATTTATAGTTTTTTGCATGCATGTATTTGTAAATAATTGTATACATTCATAAATTGATTTTATCATTTTGATTTTTGTCAATTTGACTCCAGCCCTATCCCCAACTAAAAACCACAAATCCATAGCAGTAGTATCTCTACGGGCTCCACTCTTATGGTAGCATATGCAATTCTGGACAAACAGCTGATTTGACTGTGGTTTAGCGCAACATGAAATTAAAGTTTGTCAAGGGGATTGTTGTGTGGTGTTTAGAGCAGAAGGCTGAGAGTCAGGACTCCAGGATTCTGTTCCTTCCTCTGTCACGCATTTGTTTGGTGACCATGGGCAAGCTGCTTAACATCTCTTTGGCTCAGTTTTCTCACCTGTAAAATGGGAATAAATATACTTACCTCACATAAGTGTTGGGAGATTTAATTAAAAATTTGTAAAATACTTGGAAATGCTCAGATGGAAGGTGCCATAAAAGTGCAAAGTATTATTTAATCCAATATTTCTGTGAAATAGTAACTTTCCTTTCTCCCCTTTCTTTCTATCATTTTCCTAATGTCTGATCTTCTCTATGCCACAATAACTTCTTTCAAAAAATTGCTGAGACACCAACGCCTAAATTTTCAAAACTTGCTACTGATTCTGGATATTTCAGTTTTTGACAAATTTAAGACACATTAAAGTGCCCTGATTTTCAGAAGGGCAGAGCACCTAGATTCTGAAAATCACCTCCCCTTCAGGGATTTTTAAGTTGAGTGTCCAAACATTGATGCACTAGTTGCTTTTGAAAATGTAGGAATTATCACACTGTCTGAAGTGGTTCATGACCGTGAGCGCCAGGGCAGACTGTCAAGAAGCAGGTCAGAGATTCCAGACTGGTTGTGTGTTCCATAATTAGATTTCACCAACCATAGGTGCTGACTTCGGCTGGCTACCCCCGGCCGTGCCCTGCCCCAACTCCACCCCTGCCCCGCCCGTTCATGCCCCACCCCCATTCCAATCCCTGCCCCAACTCCACCCCTCCCTGCCCCTATTCCAACTCCTTCCCCAGATCCCCGCCCCGGCCCTGCTTCCTCCCCTGAGCATGTCATATTCCCACTCCTCTCCCGTCCCTCCTGGAGCTTGTTACGCTGCAAAACAGCTGTTTTGCGGCGGCAAGCGCTGGGAGGTAGTAGGAGAAGCGGGGATGTGGTGTGCTCAGGGGAGGAGGCGGAGGTGAGGTGGGGCAGGGGTGGGGAGGGGAGCTTGGCTGCCAGTTGGTGCAGTGCACCCACTAATTTTTCCCTGTGGGTGCTCCAGCGCCTATGTAACCAACCCAATAACAAGTGTGAGGTCCTAAAATATTATAGCAGTCTTACCATGGAGTCACAGACAGTCCCCTTCACCATTCCAGTCTATCTTGCCACCCAGGCAAGCTGGACTTAGGCATGGTCCTTAACCAGAGTTAGGTCAACGTAAGACAGTTGAATAAGTGTCTACGCTACAATGTCCTCTCGCCAACTTAACTCACCTGCTACGCCGACCTAATAACTACTCCACCTCCATGAGAGGCGTAGTACTTAGGTCAGTGTAGTTGCTTACATAGCTTGTTGCTGCCTTTGACAATCCGAGTTGTTAGGGATGCGCAGTGCTAGCAGAAGTAGGGTAGTGTGATCATGAACAGCCAATTTCACGGGCACTGCCTTCTTCTGGGCCCCAGGGGTGCATGGATTTCCTGCGTTTTCCAATGTATTCCTTCTAAAGGATTCCAACCTGCCTTTCAGATTGCTGAAGCTGAAGAAGATGTTTATTTCTAAATTTGGATCGGCTCCCAAGTTTTATGCTCGTGCACCAGGGCGAGTCAACTTAATAGGTAAAAGAAGAATATTATTTTCTTTAAATTTATGGCAAGTTCCAAACATACAACCTAAATGTTTGTGATCTTTTTATTTTTGGTCAAGGGGTGCCTGTGCTTGACATTAAGTCATAAATGGGAAGGAGAAAATATTACTTCATTAGCTTTTAACTGCATATTATTACAACCTGTAGTTCACATTAAGGTCACAATTCAGGACAGCATCTTTATTCAGGACGGGCGTAATTTTATATTTTAAGTGCCATCTTGAATAGGTAAGGAGTTAAGGACATAAATGCTTTTCTGAATCAGTGCCTAAAAATCTCCTTCCTGGTTAGGTTTAGGGCTCATTTCCCTACCATGGTTTCTGCAGCTCAGTCTCAGGCAGATCTAGGATGCAGTTGAAGTTTGTAAGATGGTATCATGAAATCAACCCACATCTTTTCTCACTACTACAATTCAAATCTTCAAACATAGTAATGCATCCTGGCACAGAGTACTACATTTTGACGAGAGCTGGAAATGTTCTGCCATAGTTTTCCCTCCCTCATTCTATAGAAATTCCACACAGTTGAGCCCACAGAGATTAGAATAGTAAGTTGGTCTGGAGAGTAAATATGGTTATTTCATACCTGTTTTTTTAAAATGTGGCTTCATTCTGGAGACACCCATTTTTATTTTATGATCATGCTCTTTCTAGAGTTCAGTTCTCTGTGTAATTAGAATATGACCCAGCCAGTCAGGCAACTTTCTCCGTGAAAGGGTTTTTGCTACAGATATGGCAAATATAGTGCAATAGAGCTCTCAGAGGGCCAGGTGGTCTAGCGGGTAGTGCACCCAGTATTGCCTCTCAATACGAAGGCCTTTCTGTCCAGTTCCTCACCTGAGGATGGGTTTAGCTTCCCCTCAGGTTGCAATGTCCTTGCCCTCTTCTTATCAGAGGGGGGAGTGAGAGTGGAATGTGGCTTATGCCTTACCTGCAACAGGGTAGGGGACCTTGGGCCTTCCCATTCCACTGGCTCCCACCCAGAGCCCTATGAGATTCAACAGTGTCCAGCACCGTGGCGTGCCCTCAGAGTTACCCTCTCTGGGTCACTTCTTACCATCTGTCTCTCCTCCAAGGTGCCAGTATAACATAACAAAAGAAAAAGAAAAGACAACTAAACCTTCAGCCCTGACTGGACTCCGTGTGCAGTCCTACTCCCCATAGGGAGGCTTTTTCAGCACCCTTGTCCAGGAGCCTTCAGGTTAGGTCTGTCTTCCTCCCCAACCTCTCACTGACTGAGTTGTGTTGCTCCTTTTTAAGCTTCCTCTCCAGCTGGAGCATGCTTTGCAGGTCTGGAGGGACAGGGCTACCTGGGGCCAGTATTGTCCTTTAACCCCTTTGGGCCCAGTATGGGGTTTGTAAACCCATCACATACACATTAAAAACATTAATTAGCCTGTTATGCAGTCAATTTAAATTTTTACTTTGAACATCTGTCATGTAAGATAATTAGAGTGGAGAACAGATGTTGCCTGAAAATTATTCCTAACAGAGAAGGTACTTGCTATGTCCATTTTCTTTATTGAATGTTATTTTGTATGTTATGAACAATTGTATTAATGATGATTTAAATATTAGTATTTTCCTGGAAAAAGTCCAGCTATGGTATGAAAAATGAATTCCTGCAAAAGCCTTATGCAGTGGGTGATGAATCATTCAGATGAGCAGAAGTTGTCGCGGGAAGGGAAATTATGTATTGCATTTATGTTTGCGGTATGCTAACCATAGGTGAAATGGAAATAATTTAACTTGCTTGTCTTGCTAATTTTACCAGTTACATGTCAAGCACAAATAGTCTTCCTGCTCTAACTGCCGGATAACAGTCCATCTATCACCTTGTAATTTTGTTAAAGAACATAAAGGTTTAAAAAGAAATGAAGGTTACAAAAAATCATTATAGAAATGTAAAGCTTTGGTGCCTTAGTATGAAATTTAAGATGTGCAGAACAGTCTAGCAGTTGGGATTTTAACAATAAGAGCTGTAAAGTGTATATTCTGAAATGACTGGTAGAAATTGTCTAGGACATGAAGCAATTCTGCACTCCTACACTAGCCATTAGAATCAAGGATGTTTCTTCTGCTGCTGCTGATTCATAGATTCCAAAGCCCGAAGGGGCCTTTGTGATCATCTAGTCTGAACTTCTGTATTATATAAGCCCTAGAAGTTCCCCAAAATAATTCCTTAAATATATCTTTTAAAAAAAATCCAATCTTGAGTTCAATATTGCCTGTGATAGAGAATTCACCATGACCCTTGGTAAATTGTTCCAGTGGTTAATTACTCTCACTGTTAAAAATGTTCACCTAATTTCCATTCCGAATGTGTCTAGCTTCAACTTCAGCCATTGGAGCATGTTATACCTTTCTCTCTTCTAGATTGAAGAGCCCAGTATTAAATATTTGTTCCCCATGTAAATCAAGTCACCCCTTAACCTTCTCTATGTTCAGCTAGATAGACTGAGCACCTTGAGTCTATCATTATAAGGCTGGTTTTCTAATAGTTCTCGTAGCTGTTCTCTGAACCCTTTCCAATTTATGAACATCCTACTTGAACTGTGGACATCAGAGCTGGACACAGTATTTCAGCAGCAGTTGCACCAGTGCCAGAGGTAAAATAACCTCTCTACTCTGACTTGAGAGTCCCCTGTTTATGCATCCCAAGATCGCATTACCCCTTTTGGCCACAGCTTTGCACTGGGAGCTCAAGTTCAAAAGATTATCCACCATGACCCTCAAATCTTTTTCAGAGTTACTGCTTCCCCCATCCCATATGGATGGTCTACATTCTTTGTTTCTAGATGTTCACATTTATGTTTCGCTGAATTAAAACACATATTGTTTGCTTGTGCCAAGTTTACCAAGCAATTCAGATCACTCTGTATTAGTGACCTGTCCTTTTCATTATTTACCACTCCCCCAATTTTTGTATCATTTGCGAACTTTATCAGTGATGATTTTATGTTTTCTTCCAGATCACCGATAAAAATGTTAAATGGCAAAGGGCCAAGAACAGATTGCTGAAGGCCCCACTAGCAATACACCCACTTGACAACGATTCGCCGTAGACAATTATATTTTGTGATCTACCAATTAGCCAGATATAATGGTGCCATGTTAATTTTATGTCATTCTACTTTTTTTCCATCAAAATGTCAGGTAGTACAAGTAAAACATCTTACAGAAGTCTATTATATTGTCTTTATCAAACAAACTTGTAATCTCAATTTAATTTGACAGGATCTATTTTCCATAAACCTGTGTTGACTGGCATTAATTATATTACCCTCCTTTAATTCTTTATTAATTGAGTCCTGTATCAGCCGCTCCATTATCTTGCCCAGGATCAATGTCAGACTGATATGCCTATAATATTGGCACAACATTATCTTTCTTTTCTTCCAGTCTTCTGGAACTTCCCTAGTGTTCCAAGACTTATTGAAAATCAACATTAACGGTTCAGCAAGCTCCTAAGCCAGCTCTTTTACAATTCTTGGATGCAAGTCATCTGGATTTAATGATTTTAAAATGTCTAACTTTAGTAGCTGCTGTTTAACATCCTCCTGAGATACTAGTGGAATGGAAAGAATGTTATCATCCTATGAGAATACTACATAATCTGTTATTTTGCCAAATACAGAACAGAAATATTTATTGAACACTTCTGGCTTTTCTGCATTATTATTAATAATTCTACCATTTCCATCTAGTAATGGACCAATACTATTGTCAGGATTCTTTTTGTTACCAATATACTTAAAAACTCCTTATTGTCCTCTGCTAGCCCCAGATTTGTCTGTGTGTCCCTTTGCTTCCCTTATCTGTTATCTACAATTCTTAGCTTCTGGTTTATATTCATGACTATCAACTTGCATTAGTTATAGGTTTCATTATTGTTTTTTATAGGTGCCTTCACTTTCCTTGTAATCTAGGTCATTTTTTTAACCCATTTGGCCTTCCTCAATTGTGGTCTTTTTGGGCATCTAGTAACGTGTTCTTAAACAAGGATTATTCCAAAATGCTGTTAATTTTCTGTTATTATTTTGTTGTTTTCTAGGAGAACATATAGACTACTGTGGATATGCTGTGCTCCCTATGGCTATAGAGCAAGACATACTTATAGCTGTTGAACCTGTAAAACCTCAAGTTGTCCAACTAGCCAACACAAACCCTTTGTACTCGTAAGTATTAATTTATTTATTTCTTATACTAATTTATAATGCACTCATCATTTCTTATACTAATTTATAATGCACTCAATTGCACCACAGTTACAAGATAAACTTGTAAAAGCCAAGTTTAAATCAATGTAAGTGTCTTCAGAAGTGCAACATCTGTATGCAGACAAATCCTCAAAGGGCAAAGTGCCACCTACTGAAGCACGAACAGTACTTCCTTTAGAAACCAGGTGTTGCTTGAAGTGTTCCCTTAGCCCTGGTCTACATTGGGTGGGGGGGGATCGATCTAAGATTACGCAACTTCAGCTACATGAAGAACGTAGCTGAAGTCGACATACTTAGATTGACTTACCGTGCTGTATTCACCGCGGTGACTCGACTGCTGCTGGTCCCGTCGACTCCGCCTGCGCTTCTCGTGGCGATGGAGTACAGCGATCGACGGGAGAGCTCTCGGGGGTCGATTTATCGCATCTAGACTAGACGCAATAAATTGATCCCGGCTGGATCGATTGCTGCCCGCCGATGCGGCGGGTAGCGTAGACATACCCTCACAGACACTGGCCCAACCTGACCCTGTTTAGCTTGTGAAATCTGCCAGCGCACAGCATGTGATGATATATTTAGAGATTAATTGTGTACAATGGTATAGCAAAGGTGTATGTCGTGGTGAGCAAACTATGGCCCGCGGGCTACATCCGGCCCACAGGACCATCCTGCCAGGCCGCTGAGCTCCTGGCTGGGGAGGCTCGCCCCCTGCCTCTCCCCCACTGTCCCTCCTTCCCTGCAGCCATGACACCGTGCAGGCAGCGCGGCTTGCACCTGCCCACTTCCCAGGCTTTCCAATAAGCCTGTCCTGCCGCTCTGAACGGCATGGTAAGGGGGCGGGAGGAGTGGGGGGCAGGAGGTCCTGGGGGGCAGTCAGGGGATGGGGGACGGTTAGATGGGATGGAGGTTCGGGGGGGCGGTCAGAAGTCAGGGAGTGGGGGGGGGTGAATAGGGTGTGGGCTCCCAGGGGGTCGGTTAAGGACGGGGGTCCCGGGAGGGGGCACTCAGGGGACAAGGAGCAGGGGGGTTTGGATAGGGGGTGGGGCCCTGGGGGGCAGTTAGGGGCTGGGGGTCCTGGGGCCCCACCCAGGAGTTCTGAGGGGGGCAGCCAGGGGGCAGATAGGGGGGCGGGGGCCAGGCTGTTTGGGGAGGCACAGCCTTCCCTACTCGGTCCTCCATACCGTTTTGCAACCCCAATGTGGCCCTCGGGCCAAAAAGTTTGCCCACCCCTGGTGTAAGTGAATTTCTGTAAATACTATAACAGTTTTCTCAGCAGAACAAAATCTAATCAGATGGAATGTCACTGGTTCTAGTTACGCTATATATACACTGTCTAAGAGGGTGAGGTTTACTACTTCTCTCCTCCACCTCTCTGTTCAGGTTTCCCCTAGCACAGCCCTTCTCTCAGAAGGCCACTTTGGCCAAATAAAATTCAGAAACCTTTTCATTGCAGGTTTGACTGTTGAGAGGGAGGGATTCCAGAATTAAAATAGGCCTGTTCTCTAAATCGAGTATCACTCTCGTTAAATTCAGATGCTACATGACTTCTAGGGCCATGTTATATTTGCAGGGGAAGAGCTGTTTTGACAGGTGCTCAGTGAAGCAGTGACAGAAAATTTAAGCACTTTGACTAGACTGGTCTTTGAGCCATGACTTGGCACAGCAAATAAGAATCTAAATAGCCCCCTATTAAAACAAGTACAATTGAAACTAAACCTAGAATTATAGTTCTTGAATTAAAATAGCATGGACAATCAATATATTTTTGTAGCTGTTTTGGCTTCCATTTGAACTCATGTGGTTTTGGCTTAGGAGAGCTTTCTGCAGACAGCATCTCTGCTTCACTGTAGCCCTCCTGGTTAAAAGCAAAAAGGAACATATCTTTCAGCACTTTTGAGCATTATACTATCAACAATTGCCTTTGAGCTGCTGCGTCTTTTTTTACCAATCTGTCACAGATCTAGGGTTTATGCATATGCTGAATGAAAAGCATGTGCCCTTTGCTAATGAGGGATAACCACAAGTCTCCATAGAGTTACCCTTTCTTAGCTCAACCTTGATTTTACAGACTGCTGAAACGTTTCACAATGTTTCAAACCTGTTTCACCCTGGAGAGTTCATTTAAACTTTTAGTAAAGTGATAACAGAACAAGTTGCAAAGAGTTACCTTTTCAGATCGTAAAAGCTTCTCTGCTGACAAGGTGCCCTTTGATATCAGTTGGACCAAAAGACTATTCAAAACCTGTGCAACCTTTTGAGGTTTCACTAGTCTAATGCCACCATAGTAAAGAATATGAGGATAGAGACTATCTTGACCAAACTTCAAAGGGATTGGGGAAATACTACAGGATAATAGCCGTCAGCTGGGTATCCATCTCATGGCACAGTAGGAAAGCCTTGTATTCAAGAAATCAAAGAGTCATTAGTAAAGGGTTCCTAAACTTCAGATAACAGACTGAAGCTTCAGTAGACAAGCTGATGAGAGCCAAATTGTCCAGAAGAAACAAGATTTAAATAGCATTTAAGAAAAAAACCCAAAACCCTCAACCACATCGACATTTCTCACTGCACGAGCAAGCTCCTCTGTACTTTATGTACAGATATATGAATTCTGGAGTCTAACCTTGCAGCAAAGGTTAATTTCCCCAAGCATTCTTTGACATTCTTTGATTAAAGAGGGATAAAGAATGATTTGAACAATCTGTGTCCTAAACAGAAAAATTGCTAGTGACAGGTCAAATATATTGAACAGTGTTTGAATGAGTCAAGTGCCTTAGCTGTGCATGTGGCAAGGGCAGAGGTATGTGTCCATAAGCTGGCTGATTTGGGTGTGCCATGACAAACCTACTGAGTGATGTCATTGTAGTGCTTTTATCCACATTGAGTATGTCTACACAGCATTTTGGAGCAAGCAGGAGTGAGCTGCTCTACCGGTGTCAACAGACATGGTCAAGCAGGGCTCATGCTAGTGCTCTAAAAATAGCCGTATAGACAGTGTTTTGAACTTGTGGCTCAGACTGTAGCTCGGGCTGCATTTTGGAGCAAACAGGAGGGAGTCTCTCAAGTCTGTCAGTCCTCTTCAGGGAGGCTCACTCTTGCTTGCTCCAAAATGCTGTGTAGACATTGTCAGACATTCTATTTATATACATGGACATCACTTTCCACTATACTGTGCTTCCTTCAGTTTGAGTTTTACAGGTGACCTGCAAATATAATGCATAAGCTTCGCTTTAGCAATGAGGGGGAAATTCTGCTTCCTCCTCCTTGACTGCAGAGGGCCCTACCTGCACCTGAATCATTATGGGGGGGACAGTATTCTAATGCACTGTTTATGTGAACTAGATGTTCTTCAATTTCCCTAGCTATGACCAAAGCCAGTAGCAAGAGAATAGAGAAAGGAATAGTAGCTCTGTTCCTGCAAGGTACCATAGACTTCAGTGAGTGTTGAGGAAGCCAATCAACTTCCTAGAGATCCTCAGTAACTTTCAGGATCAGGCTCAGACTGAATATCCTCTAAATAAGAGTTTAGCTCTATAACTGGTAAGCTACAGAAATGCAAAAACCACTGCAGCTAAAACAAGAATCAAATTGCTCAAAAAAGAGTCCTAAGAAATTATTTCAGTATTGATGTAATTTCCAGAGTAGTTTTAAAACGTCAAAATTTTTTTTTAGCATCACTGTTCATTTTACAAATAGGTTCCCCCCCTTTTTATTTAAACTATATTGTATCAGGCTTGGCAAGGACTTATGCCTGTGACACGTAGCAAATAAAAAGCCAACTTCTCTTGCAGTTCTTGTTTGAGGAGGTTTCAAAAATTAGCATTGTGCACTCCAAGAAGTCATAATTTTCCTTTATCCCAACGGCCAGGAAATGGAACCACATACTTTTTACTGTTTTGCTTTGTCATATAAAAGAATAAAAGGTACAAAGAAAATCTGAGAGATGTTTATTTTGGAGATAAATGGACTTCAAACCTACTTCCTATCACAGGCAACAACAATTTACACACACTGATTGTCACCCCTGTTTTTTGGGGGGATTATCCAGAAAACAAATTTAAATGAACCTAGCAATGGCATGTTTCTCATCACTCCAGATAAATATTTTCTCTTCTGTTGTTCAGATAGCTTAGCTATTTTGTTGTGTTCAAAAGTCATAAGCAACGGGGCTTTCACCTCTTCCTCTAGGAGACTATTCCACAGTCTGATAGATCTCAAACTGGAATATTTTCCTGATATCCAGCCTGAATTTTCTCTGTCTTAATCTCATCTCATTGCTTCTGCATAAACCCCTTGTATCACCCGAACTAACCACCCTCCCCATCTTCTTGTTAACTGTCTACAAATATTTTAATATTGCCTTCTTCACAAGGTCCCATTAAATGGTACTGTTGTGTATAGTTGAAATCATAGCAGACTGTGCATCATGTAGCAAGCTATGTTGTTCCTTTTAATGTTAACCTCTCCAAAATGCTGTAAAGATTGAATACAATTAATGTTGGACACAAATGAAAAAATAAAGTTAGTGAATAATAAGCATGAGAGCTGAAACTGTAACCTTGGTTAGAACTAGGTCATATGTTCCAGACTAGAAATGCAGTGACCAACTACAATGCTAGCAAGGACTCTGAAAGTCTGGTGCCACTGCTGGGAGTAGACTCTTCAAAGAGGGAGCAGAGTTTCTGCCACCGTTTGACGCCAGTCAGGAGACGAAGGGCTGATCTACACAGAGAAGTTGTGCTGCTTTAATTGTACGGGTCTAGTTAAAGTGTTACAAACTCCCCTTTGTTGTTATATCAATATAAAGGTGTTTTATACCAATAATAGCGGCAAAGAGTCCTGTGGCACCTTACAGACTAACAGATGTATTGGAGCATAAGCTTTCGTGCGTGAATACCCACTTCGTCAGATGCATGTAGTGGAAATTTCCAGAGGCAGGTATAAATATGCACGCAAGAATCAGGCTAGGGATAACGAGGTTAGTTCAATCAGGGAGGATGAGGCCCTCTTCTAGCAGTTGAGGCGTGAACACCAAGGGAGGAGAAACTGCTTCTGTAGCTGGCGAGCCATTGACAGTCTTTGTTTAATCCTGAGCTGATGGTGTCAAATTTGCAAATGAACTGAAACTCAGCAGTTTCTCTTTGAAGTCTGGTCCTGAAGTTGTTTTGCTGCAGGATGGCGACCTTTAAAGCTGCTATTGTGTGTCCAGGGAGGTTGAAGTGTTCTCCTACAGGTTTTTGTATATTGCCATTCCTAATATCTGATTTGTGTCTGTCCTATCTCGGGGACTCTCTTTCTGCCCCGCCACCCCCACAAACATGATACAGCTCTGCGGTGAGCTGGAAGCCTACTTTCGCCGTCTCCGACTCAAAGAATACTTTCAAGATAACACTGAACAGCACACTGATACACAGATACCCTCCCACCAACAACACAAGAAGAACTCCACATGGACTCCTCCTGAGGGTCGAAATGGCTTCTGCTGATGTGCACAGGCAGAAATTGTGGAAAAAACAACGCTGCTTGCCTCATAACCTAAGTCTTGCAGAACTCAATGCCATCCAGAGCCTCAGAAACAACCCTGACATTATAATCAAAGAGGCTGATAAAGGAGGTGCTGTTGTCATCATGAACAGGTCTGATTACCAAAAGGAGGCTGCCAGACAACTTTCCAACACCAAATTCTACAGGACACTTTCCTCAAATCCCACTGAGGAATACACTAAGAAACTGCACCCTCTACTCAGGATACTCCCTACACTAACACAGGAACAAATCAACATACCCTTAGAGCCCCAACCGAGGTTATTCTATCTACTACCCAAGATCCACAAACACGGGAACCCTGGATGCCCCATCATCTTGGGCATTGGCGCTCTCACTGAAGGACTGTCCGGATATGTGAACAGTATCCCTAATGATGCCACAGCACAACTGGTTGCTGAGCTCTGTAACTTTATCCTCACGCACAATTATTTCAAATTTGGTGGCAATATATACCTCCAGACCAGTGGCACCGCTATGGGCACCCGCATGGCCCCACTATATGCCAACATTTTTATGGCTGACCTGGAACAATGCTTCCTCAGCTCTCGTCCACTCACGCCCGTTCTCTACCTACGTTACACTGATGACATCTTCATCATCTGGATCCATGGGAAGGAAACCCTGGAAGAATTCCACCACGATTTCAACAGCTTCCACCCCACCATCAACTTCAGCCTGGACCAATCTACACGGGAGGTCCACTTCCTAGACACCATGGCGCAAATAAGTGACGGTCACGTTAACACCACCCTATACCGAAAACGCACCGACCACTATGCCTACCTTCATGCCTCCAGCTTCCATCCCGGACAAACCACACGATCCATTGTTTACAGCCAAGCGCTGAGGTACAACCGCATTTGCTCCAACCCCTCAGACAGAGACCAACACCTACAAGATCTTCACCATGCATTCTCAAAACTACGATACCCACATGAGGAAATAAGGAAACAGATCAACAGAGCCAGATGTGTACCCAGAAGCCTCCTGCTGCAAGACAAGCTCAAGAAAGAAACCAACAGAACTCCACTGGCCATCACATACAGTCCTCAGCTAAAACGTCTCCAACACATCATCAGTGATCTACAACCCATCCTGGACAACGATCCCTCACTTTCACAGACCTTGGGAGGCAGGCCAGTCCGCGTCTACAGACAGCCCGCCAACCTGAAGCATATTCTCACCAGCAACTACACATAGTAACTCTAACTCAGGAACCAATCCATGCAACAAACCTCGATGCCAACTCTGCCCACATATCTACACAGTGACACCATTACAGGACCTAACCAGATCAGCCACACCGTCACCGGTTCATTCACCTGCACGTCCACCAATGTAATCTATGCCCTCATGTGCCAGCAATGCCCCTCTGCTATGTACATCAGCCACACTGGACAGTCCCTACGTAAAAGGACAAATGGACACAAATCAGATATTAGGAATGCCAATATACAAAAACCTGTAGGAGAACACTTCAACCTCCCTGGACACACAATAGCAGCTTTAAAGGTCGCCATCCTGCAGCAAAACAACTTCAGGACCAGACTTCAAAGAGAAACTGCTGAGCTTCAGTTCTTTTGCAAATTTGACACCATCAGCTCAGGATTAAACAAAGACTGTGAATGGCTCGCCAGCTACAGAAGCAGTTTCTCCTCCCTTGGTGTTCACGCCTCAACTGCTAGAAAAGGGCCTCTTCCTCCCTGATTGAACTAACCTCATTATCCCTAGCCTGATTCTTGCGTGCATATTTATACCTGCCTCTGGAAATTTCCACTACATGCATCCGACGAAGTGGGTATTCACCCACGAAAGCTCATGGTCCAATACGTCTGTTAGTCTGTAAGGTGCCACAGGACTCTTTGCCGCTTTTACAGATCCAGACTAACACAGCTACCCCTCTGATGCTTTATACCAATCATGGTGTTCCTCTGTGGGAAGGAGAATGAACTAGGCCGGTATAAGGCACAGCTCCTTTACATTGGTTTTACTGATACCCCACTAGGAGTTGTATTGACATAACTATTTTGGTTAAAAAAACAAACAAACCGACAAATCAGACCTCTAATGGATATAGTAATACTGGTGCAAAACTGTGGAGACCAGGACCAGGCCAGTTTAGGAAGCACACCGTTCGTAGCCTATGAAAGGGTGACAGAGTACCTGCTCCCTTTTAGCATCTGGAAAATGTTTGCTGAGTCAACCAAAACGCCTCTGGAGACTCCTGCTGCTGCACAGCCCCTCTAGAGATGCCACTGCAGTGTAGATTGTCGCTTGAAAGCCCCAGTTTAGCCCCTAATGTTTGAAAAATCAACATTCGCTTTTCCTGACCTTCTGAATACCTTTGCCCTTTCTGTGTTGGGCCTCTGTTGCACAGACAGCATCAGTTGGGCCCAATTATGTGATATAAATCTGACTCATATTTATAAGTAATTCACACTTCCTTCTGAATAATGCATGTGCCCTCTGCACGGAATGGGGGTAACATGGGCTCATTTCAAAACCAGGGTAAAAGTGATTTAGCTACAATATTTAGTGCACAAATAGTTTCTTGTATTCAGATTTAAGACTTCTATCATTTTAAAGTGAAGGAGGAACAGTAAAAAAATTCTGAGAGTTATCCTGGATGACATCTTACCTCCTCTGCATAGAACAGGTTTACATTTGATGTACAAAATATGTCAGCAATAGAGGCTGCTAGTGGAATTTTAGTATGTAAATATTAAGTGGTTTGGGGTGTCCAAAGCAGTAAATTCAGTTCTGCTTTGGTGAGCTGCTACTCACATCAGTGGATTATCTCAAAAGTAATGGAGAAGAAATCTTGACTAAGGTTTATGAGTGTAGAGAAAGTTTTAAAATGTATTTTTATTTATTAAGCACATTTGGAGGGATGATAATTATTTGTTTTAAGGCTTTTGCTTCTCCGAGGCTCTGATTTAGGAAAACACTTAAGTATATGCACACCTGCCCCCATCGTTGGCCACTGGATTCCCCCATTCACCGCTGGTGGGCTGTCGAGCAGGGATCCGGCCAGCAACAGGACCCACCAGTACTGATGTGGGGGAAACAGAAAATATGGCACAACTTGTCCATTTTTAAGAAAAAGTTGGGACACCTGCAGGCGGGCTTAAATATGGACTGTCCCTTTAAAAATGGGACGTCTGGTCACCCTACACATAGGTATCTTCAAAAGGATGCTTTTTTGTTACAAATTATATATTTAAAAATACAAATGTTCACACCTACTCTGTCACTGATAACTTAGAATACTAAAAAGAAAGAGAAAAATTGGATTTGTGTTTTAATATTTAGAGTGTGGTAGCTGTTTTTTAAAAACCAAACCAAACCCTTTATCTCATTTTTCTCAGCATTGCCAGAAAATACACTCATCAGTTTCCTTTTCTGGTTATAGCACAACCTTGCAATATTTGAGATGCAAACTTTGCAGGTAATTTGTTTTGTTTAAATGGCTGCTTCCATTGGAATGTTTTAAAAAGGCATGAAAACGTTGTTGGTGTTCAGTTTCATAATTTGTTTTTACAGAGCCCAGTTTCTGGGCCAAATTTGATGTATTAGCAATGTTTCCATTAAACAGCTTTTTTGTACAATCGGTGAATAAGGTGGAAGAAGAGCCAGAGGAAAAGAATGTAATATGTATTGTGTAAAAAAAAATGTCCAGGACAAAGTTTAAATGTTGCTGTTTCATCAGCAGATGGCAGCAGCAAGCCATGGAACTAAACTTACTGACATGTTTATAGACTTGGTGTTATATCTGTTTTTTCAGGGATTTCAGTACTAGTGTGAATAACATTCACATTAACAAAACCAAACCTGTGTGGCACAACTACTTCCTATGTGGTTTGAAAGGAATTCAGGTAAACCAAATTCATTTAACACATATGTATTATATGGGCTACCTTTTAAGATTAAAATATAATGTGGGTGTATGTTATATAATGTCCTATTACGCTTATTTATAAAATATGTTATTTAATAGGGCATTTTTTACTCATACAACTTAATTTGTAGCTGTCTTTTGTATCCTATTAACTAAAGTACTTTTATATTTATGTTAAAATATTTGTAAAATACTTTTGTTTTGCTTGTATGAAAATATTTGCAGAATACAAAACCTACATTAGATTTATTATATACATTATTATACAGAACAGTGTATTAATTTAGTCGGATCATGATCAGACTCATTAAAATAGAAAAATGTAAACTGAAATAGTCAAAGTTAGACACGTTGCTGAACAGAACCACATGCTTAAGGTTTATTTTTAAAAGGGGGCTGTAGGTTTGGAAATATGGAACCTAAAATAATAATTTGTTCCCTCCTCCCTGTCCCCCAAGTGAAGACTATTGTAAAATGTAAATAATTCTTAGGAGTACTGGAAAGACACACAGACCCCCTCTCCCGAGTGCATGAGAACCAAATAGTGAAATTGACGGGTCCTATTGCACATGCTAGGCACAAGGAAATGCAACCCCCACCCCCATCCAATAACAAACTGGATAAAGCAAGCAAAATAAAGTAGTTTTTAAAAACAGTTTCAGTTGCAATAATCTGCTTCAAATTATTAGCTGTACAGGCTTTTCAATGCATGTCTTTGGGGTGGGATTTTCAAAAGCTCATAACTCACTTAAGAGCTAAAAGAAAAGTAGTACTTGTGGCACCTTAGAGACTAAGAAATTTATTTGAGCATAAGCTAAAGTCATTGTACTCCTGACTCACTTAGGTGCTTTTGAATGTACCAGCATCTTAGCTTAACTATGCCTTTAAAAATCATACTTGATTCAGAATGAAACAACAGCTCTTTCTTTATTAGGCTGAGAAAAAAAAAGGAATTTTAGTACATCTATTTCTGTCTGAAACTTTGACAGAATAGTGAATGTTCAGTTCCATAGTTCATTTAGCACCTTTAAAACATGTTATACTATGCAATCATAGTAACAAACTGTTCTCTTTATGATCTAAAATTCCTGTCACTGCCCAATATGTTTCAAGCCCCAATCAGTGACTCCTATTTGCAGTGATGTGAATATTTTCAATCTCTGAATTGCCCCACAAGTAAAACATTCATTTAATTTGTATTTACTTTGCAATTTTATGCTAGTTTTCTTTACAGTAAAATGGCTTAGAGAAACATGACCTAAGTGTCCCTACATATTTTGGGGTGTGCTTTTGAGAGTTAGATCTTAAAAATAATTTTTTAAGCTTGATGGTTAATATGCAAAGCAGGTTTATATACTAATGCTAGCAGAAAATAAGCATAAATGCTACAGATTCTTAAGAAACATTCAAATGCAAGTACTAAGAAGGTCCAAGGGGATAATCTGTTTATATGAAGTTGAACATGTTATCCTTTTGGGATAGAACTATTGCAGAACTTGGCAAAGTCCATTTTCATTTCTGAAACTGGAGTAAGTTTTTTATTTAAACATTGCGTGATAAGTTTGCAATTCTGATTCACATTGAAGACAACCCTGTGGATGAGTTTCTGGTTAAATATATTACTCAAGTAGTTTTTTAAACAGGCTTGTCTGATGTTCTGCATGAACGAGCATTGGCAGCAATAGCATTTCAATTAATAATTTGTTTGTATTTCTGGAAAGGGAATTTTTAGATAATTTGTAGCAACGAAGAGACACATTCAACAAGATCTTTCTTATGTGCTGCATGAACTCTGCCCTTATTGCCTGCAGTTGGCTTTATTTCAGGAACAGGAATAGATTTTTTTTTGTAGGAAAAGAGGGGAGCTTCTTTCTGAGAAATGTTGGCATTTCTCAGGTGATTGTGATGGTTACGTAAATCTGCATTGGCACATTGATGTGTATGTATTTATACAATTTATGTGGGTGATATTTTGGTTGGTACAATATGGTGTTTATTTTGAACCAAAGTGTACTAGAGATGATATAAAAATTTTTGTGAAAGAAGAGAACTAAAATGTTTAAAAATGTAAGAACAGAATACAATCTACAGATAGTGTTTTGGGATCCGTGAATGAAAATTATATATGATATGAATCTTGTGTGTGTGCATGCATGCACACACAATTAGATTTTGAGCCACAGTAAAATCTCTAAAGTTATCCCTTTGCTTTAAATATAAATAGTATGATAGCAGTCATCAAAAGCAGAGTGCCTCACATAAACTCGTAACTTTAGAGTTAGAAAAGGTCCTCTCTTACTTGTACAAATATTTCTCATATCAACTGCCTACTGTTCTTTACTGTATACATATAATTAATGCATAGTGACTACCAAGTGACTTCATTATACTGTATATGTAGCAGAACCAAGGTTATAATATCCATCTATTTTTTTCCAAGCTGCTAATACAACTGTATACAAACACAATTAATATTAACCACAAGTGGTAAGAATGCAAGCCAAAACAAGGAAAGAATAGATTAAAGAATATTTAGATAAATTAGATGTATTCAAGTCAGCAGCCTAACTTCAATACCTGGAAGATACTAGAACAAATTATTAAACAATGAATTTGTAAGCATCTGAAGACAATAGGGTTATAAGGAATAACCAGCATGGTTTTGTCAAGAACAAATCATGTCAAACCAACCTAATTTTTCTTAGACAGGGTTACTTGCCTAGTGCATGGGGTGGGCAAACTATGGCCCGTGGGCTGGATGCAGCCTGCGAACCATTTTAAGTTGGCTCGCAGTTCCCGCTAGGGAGTGGGGTCAGGGACCGCAGCATGCAACTCGGCCCCGCTCTGGTGCTCCAGCTGGATTGGGGGCCAGAACATGCGGCTTGGCCCTGCTCCCACGCTCCGGTGGGGTCGGGGGCCACTCCACGTGGCTCCCAGAAGCTGCCACAAGGCTCCACTCTGGCTTCTATGTGCTCCAATGGCTCCCTCCAGTGCTCCAATGGGAGCTGCAGGGGCGGTGCCTGCGGATGGGGCAGCGTACAGAGCCGCCTGGCTGCGCCTCCACGTAGAAGCCTGAGAAGGGATATGCCACTGCTTCTGGGAGCTGCTTGAGGTAAGTGCTGCTCGGAGCATGCACCCCTGAGCCTCTCCCCATGCCCCAAACCTCTGCCCCAGCCCTGATCCTCCTCCCGCTTTCCAAACTCGTCGATCCCAGCCCGGAGCACCCTCCTGCACCCCAAACCTCTTATCCCCAGTCCCACCCCAGAGCCTGCCCCCCCAGCCAGAACCTACACCCCTTCCCACACTCCTGCCCCAGCCCCGATCCCCCTCCTGCCCTCCAAACCCCTCAGTTCCAGCCCAGAGCATCCTCCTATACCCCAAACTCCTCATCCCCAGCCTCACCCGGAACCCGCACCCCCAACCAGAGGCCTCACCCCCTCCTCCACCCCAGCCCCAATTTAGTGAGCATTCATGGCCCACCATACAATTTCTATTTCCTGATGTGGCCCTCGGGCCAAAAAGTTTGCCCACCCCTGGCCTAGTGGATAGGGGGAAGCTGTAGATGTGATATATCTTGATTTTAGTAAGGCTTTTGACACAGTCCTGCATTATATTCTCATAAGCAAACTAGGGAAATGTGGTTTAGAAGAAATAGCTATGAGATGAGTGCACAACTGATTCAAAGACTGTACTCAAAGAGTAGTTATTAATGGTTCTCTGTCAAACGGGGAGGACATATCTTGTGGGGTCCTGAAGGGGTCAGTCCTGGATCCGGCACTATTCTATCTTTTCATTATTAACTTGGATAATGGAGTTGAAAGTATGCTTATAAAATTTGCAGATAACACCAATCTAGGAGGGATTGCAAGCACTTTGGAGGACAGGATTAGAATTCAAAATGATCTTGACAAATTGGATAATTGGTCTGAGTTCAACCAGATTAAATTCAATAGAGGTGAGTGCGAAGTATTGCACTTAGAAAGAAAAATCAAATGCAAAACTACAATATGAGGAATAGCTGGCTAGATGATAGTACCACTGGGGTTATAGTGGATCACAAACTGAATACGAGTCAGCAATGTGATGCAACTGCAAAAAAGGCTAATATCATTCTGGGGTGTACTAACCAGAGTGTTACTGGGGTGTAAGACATGGGAGGTGACTGTCCTGCCCTACTCAGAGGCCTCCTCTGGAGTTCTGTGTCCAGTTCTGGGTACCTTGCTATAGGAAAGAAGTGTGCAAATTTGAGGGAGTCCAGAAGAGAGCAACAAAAGTAATCAAAGGTTTAGAAAAGTTGACCTATAAGGAAAGGTTAACAACACCGGGAATGTTTAGTCTTGAGAAAAGAAGGCAGAAGGGGAGGGGGAGGGAGTGGCCTCATAACAGTCTTCAAAGATGTTAAGGGCTATTATAAAGAGGACAGGGATCAATTGTTCTCTGTATCCACTGAAGGTATAACAAGAAGTAATGGGCTTAATCTGCCACAAGGGACATTTGGGTTAGATATTGGGAAAAACTTACTGTTTGGAAGGCTAGTTAATCTCTGGAACAGACTTTCAAGGGAGGTCATGGAATCCCCATCATTTGAAGTTTTTCAAAACAGGTTGGATAAAGACCTGTCAGGGATGGTGTAGGTTTACTTGGTCCTGCCACAGTGCAGGGGGCTGGATTTGATGACTTTCCAAGATCCCTGCCAGCTCTACATTTCTCCGATTCTGTATTTGATGTCTGTTTGATTCAGGGAGTTTGCATTCTTACTCGCGGGCTGCATGTAAAACTACCACATGGCTAAAATGTCTCAAACTTCAGTTTTACAAGGATCTCTACAAATTTCCAGTGTATTTTGGATTACAAATGCAGAATGCTGGCTCTGACAGTATCTTATGTTAGGAGACCCTGAATTTGGGAACTAATGTGACATCACAGGGCATGAGTCACAACAGAAGAGTATCTAGAGGTTGCAGTAGCAATGGAAATCAATAGTTCTGTGCTTTAGTGCCTTTTCTAATTTAGTGGAGACTTATAATAGGCTATTTTCTCTTTCAGTTCAGAAATATTCTTGGTAGTTGAGCTGTAGAGCAGTTTGAAGAATAGAAAAAAAAATGTTTTAAGCACCATAATTCAGCAACAACTTGTCTGAGAGACCTCAGAAATTCTCTGCTGTCCTTAGACTGAGCATGCACAATATCAGGTTTAAAATAATATTTTTAAGTGAAGAGGGGTATCAAGATATAACCAAAATTTGAAATGGTCGTAAAATCTTATATTCATGCACTTCTCTTCTGAATTTTAATCTTGGTTTTTAAGGACCAGACTTGAAAATGTCACAAACCCCCTCACTCTTTATGGTGACACCAAACAGCACATCAGTAGTTCAACAACTCAGCAACAGAAATCTCTTCCTAAACATGGGATAATTGAACGTCTAAGGCGGTCTGTACTTGATACTCAGATTGTTTATTTTTTCATTGTTAGGAACATTTTGGTCTTAATAGCTCAACTGGAATGAATTGTCTGTTAGATGGAACCATCCCACCAAGTTCTGGTCTGTCTAGTTCCAGTGCGTTGGTATGCTGTGCTGGACTTGTGGCACTTACAGCTAATGGAAAGACCCTTTCAAAGGTAATTTACTGTAAAACCCAAGAGTATTAACTGTAAAATACAACTTTAAATATTGTTAACATCCATAAATTTTTAAGACACAATGCAATTGTTTTTACAAAGAACTGTTGGATATAAACTGAAAATATTGCACAATTGAGGAAACATGTTTGGCCAAATTTTGGCAGGCTTTAAGTTTGGCAAGGAAACAGGCATACATTAAAGCTGCAGAAAGAGCATTATTGTAAGCCTGTATTTTGGCCAACTCAAGTCTCACACATGGCCATCCCTGGACCAGATGTAATCTCTGCAAGCCAGGATTGAGCATATACGTTCTAAAGCATGTGGACCACACCCTCTGACCCTTATACTCCCTCCCTGAATGACTTGCTGTGGCTCTAGTAGCAAAGCATCTGTTGAAAGCCTGTGGAGAAGCTTCTTAATGGGTTATAGTCAAGGCAAAATAGGAGTAGAAATCTTCCATCCCACTCTCCCCACTGCGTTTTGAAATGAATCCATTTCCAGTCCACATCCAGAATTAAAGCCTTTTTAAACAAATATTGTTCCTCAAAAACAAACCCAGTGTAAGTGAATTGTTACCACTAAACCTGGTAGTAGACCTTTGTTCATGTGTCAAAACACCTCTGCAGTAGTTATGGCGCTTGAAGGTACCACATGCAATAAAGTTCAGTCTGGTGGAAATGTCTGGTAGAATCTAGAATCTTAAATTCAAACATCAGGAAGAGAAAAGAATAGATATAGTGTACACTTGTGCCTGTTGCCTAGTCATTGTAATAAGTGTATTCACTTTCCATAACAGAGGAAGTGATTATCTGCAATGATCCAGAAAATTGACAGGGATCAGAAAGCCTGAAATGTATTAGTTAGTAGAAATTGGTAACTTGAACACCAAGAACAGACTTGCTGTATGCTAAGTAATACTGTACAGTTCTCTTAAGAAAAAATAAGTTACAGAATGTACCTTTGGCTGGATGTGCACATAAACTCACACATGGTCTTGGAGTATAGTTCTGGATCATGTCAGACCTGTTCTGAAGGTCAGCCAGGTGCAAAATGTCTGGTTGTGTTGAGTATGATGATGGGTGATAGCACTGATGAGGTCTGTGGCAGCAATGCTATCCTCTAGCACAACTTCAGAGGTTCTGCAGACTTTATAGCATGGTAGAAAACAAGAAGTCTGGTGCCAAAGGCAAGTTTTTGCACCTAGCACAGAAAGCTTTATACCCAGCGTGGCCCAGATGCTCTGCTGCACCAAGCTTACATTTGGCATAGCAGAGAGACAGGGGCGTTCAGGGATCTGGGGCAATCTGAGCCCCAGTGTAAAGTAGAGCACTCTAAGCGTCTGAGTCCCAAGGAACCATTTATCAGCTCAGTATAAAATATGCTGTGCCCCTCCCCTGCCAGCCCTAACGTGCACCCTGCACTTGGACCAAGTGGTGGGTGTTGCAGGGGCCAGCAATACCAGCTGTGCATCAGCTGGGAGCTTCCCCATGCCAGGGGATTTTGCAGCTGGACAGAGATAGGTGCTTTCCAGAACCTTGACACTTCTCAGACCAGAACTTTCTGGGGTCTCTATATTTATTTATGTATTTAAATTTTTTTGGAGGAAAAATCCCCCAAAGAAGATATTATTAACATAATTAAAGATCCTGAAGTAATCAATAACTCTTATACAAAATACATCAGTGCAAGTTATCATACCGCCCCCTTCCCCAAGGCATTTGATATAACAGAAATGACAACTGAAGGTAATTTATATATGTTACAATGTCTTGTCATCAACGTGGACTGTCATGATAAGGTTATAAGAGAGGGTTGATTTTTCTTTCCCTTTTGATGGGTGTTGCTAAGCCTTAAACACATGCTTTGCAAAAGCAATGCACAGAAACTTTTGGCTTCAGAATAAGATTTGGCTGAATGGTAGGAGTTCTGTGGCCAAAATTCTGGAATTTTGACCTTTTGCTGAATGGAACAGTTATCTGTTTTCTTGATGCAAAAACTATTTTTATGAAGATACTTTGAGTTATAGTTTTCTCTTTCCTGGTAATGAGAGTTTTAAATAGTGGACTGAAAGTAAAAGTAACTGGAAATTAAAGTGATCCTATGATATTCTCCCTTAACACGAGGCTTTACATCTGTAAGATAAAGAAAAGAACAAGAGTACAAAATGAAAGTGCTGTGCAGTTTTATCTGTGTTTCAGTGCTGGCTTTTAAAAATAGCTTTTTTTGTAGAGGCTACAAGTCAGCTCAGAAAAAAAATGTTGTCACTAATTATTGTGTGTAAAAGTCTGAAAAAGGGCAGTGCTTTAGTTTGCCTAGAATTATTAAAAAAAACCAAAAACATCCGCATAATAGTTTAGGCAAAATACCAGTTCAAGTCAATTCAGCCAGATGTGTAATGTTAACCTGTTGCAGTACACTAATATTCAACTTGTAAGATGGCAAATTTAAAATTAAACGGTTAAAAAGAGTTCCTCTCTTCTATAGCAAGATTCCAGTGCAAACCTACACTGCCAAAACATGAAGACTGCTAATGCTCAGGAGTATCATTTGATTTTAAAATTATTTTTATGTTAATATTAGGAAAAGAGACCCTCATAAACACAGCTTTTCAGCATGAAAAAAGTCTTGTCAACAGTGAAAGCAGAATGAGGTTTTTAATTGTCCTAGCGTCATGTTTTCTGGTAAAATTTCTGAGCACTGTAGACTAGTCCATTTGAATAATGAGATTTATTTGAGTGAATTGACCCTGGTGGTGTGCTGCAAATGAGAACGCTTGCTGTGCTGCGGTTTGTTAGGCCACCTCTACGTTTTTTCCATTGCTTAGAGCAGGAGGGCTAAGTACATGTTTACCTCCTGTGTAAACTAAGGCAACAACATATATAGCGTATTGAACGTACAAGGGAAACATCGCGTGGCTGAGGTTGAATGACATTTAAATACGTTCTTAGAAAGAGCAATTATGGTCATTTGATGGAACCATAGGTAAGAGGCCCAAATCTACTCAGCTTTGGCAAAGCTCCCATTGATTTCAGTGGGAGCAGGCCTAATGTAATACATTTATATTTACTAATTGGGGGCCTAATCCAATGCCATGACGTTAATAGAATAATTCCCAATGATTTGACCTGGATTATGCGCAAATAAATTACCAATAAAACAAGATGTGTCAGCCTTGAATTTCAAAAGGCTTCAGGATTGGATTTATAAAGCTGAATAAATTAAACCTGCACTTGTTCACACAAATCAGATGGATGGATGTTCAATTATTTTCATGCTGCAATAGTTGGGTGTAAATTTATGAAACTACTTTCAAAAATTTGGTCCATGCACGATGTAGATATTTAAGCAAAGATCCTATTTCTTGCAAGCGTACTTTGTAAAGAATGAGGCAAGAGAAGAATAAGAAATGGAATACAGAAACAGAACGGCACTTTGCAGGGGGTTTGCATTTGTACTGTGGACTGTGTGTATTTCAGGGGTGAAAGTAAGTTAGAGGACTTACCGGGGAAAGTAAGTTAGAGGATGCCGGAGTCCTGAGCAGGGGGCGTGGCCTCAACCGGAAGGGGCGTGGCCTTTAAATCTTAATTTAAAGGGCCTGGGGCTCCAGTTGTAGTAGTGGCAGCTGGGAGCCCGGGGCCCTTTAAATCACCCCTGAGCTACCAGCTGCAGAGGCTCGGGGGCAATTTAAAGGGCCCAGGGCTCCAGCTGCCGTAATCGCAGCGGAGCCCCGGGTCCTTTAAATCACTGAGGAGCCCTGGGGGCTCCCGGCTGCTGCCGCTACCCCAGGGCTCTGGGCTCTGGCAGAGCTTTAAAGGGCCTGGGGCTCTGCTGTGGTAGAGGCTGCCAGAGCCCCGGCCCTTTAAATCCCTGCCAGAGGTCCACTGCTGCTACTCCAGGGCTTTGCAGCAGGGCTCAGGCGGAGATTTAAAGGGCTTGGGGCTCTGGCAGCTGCTACCACCCCGGCCCTTTAAATCCGCTCTGGAGCCCCGCTGCTGCTACTCTAGGGCTTCGGCAGCAGGGCTCCGACGGGGATTTAAAGGGCCGGGACGGTAGCGACGGCTGGAGCTCTGGGGCCCTTAAAATCCCCGCCGGAGCCCCGCCGCCACTACCCCAGGGCTTTAAATTGCTGTCTGGGAAAGCTGGTCTCGGTATGGCGCACCGGCTCTTACCGGTGCACCGTACTGGGGCGTACCGGCTTACTTTCACCTCTGGTATACTTCCTGGTATATTGTTAAACATACTTACATACATTTTATGAAAGTGAAACTTTGTTATTTTAGGCAAGTATGCTGTCTAATAATGTGGAATTAGTTGCTCCGTGGCTGATTTTATACCAATTGGAAATCAAACTAGATCATTTTGGGCCTGATCCTGTGATGTGATCCACTTGTGCAGCCCCTACTCCCATGTGGAGTTCCATTGCAGGTAGGGTTGCCAGGTGTCCAGTTTTCGACTGGAATGCCTGGTCGAAAAGGGATCCTGGTTGCTCCGGTCGGCACTGCCGACTGGACTGTTAAAAGTTGGCGGCACAGTAGGGGTCTGGGGCTAAGACAGGCTCCATACCTGCCCTAGCTCCGTGCTGCTCCTGGAAGCGGCCCCCAGGTCCTTGTGGTCCCTAGGTGCATGGGCGGCCAGGGAGGCTCTGCGCACTGCCCCCACCCCAGGTGCTGGCTCTGCAGCTACCATTGGCTGGGAACTGCGACCAATGGGAGCTGTGGGGGTGGCGCCTGTGGGCACAAGGGCAGCACACGGAGCTTCCCTGGCCGCCCATGTGCCTAGGGGTCGCAGGGATGTGGCGGTTGCTTCCTGCACCCCGACCCCCAGCCTGGAGACCCCTCCTGCACCTCAAACCCCTCATTCCCAGCCCCACCCCAGAGCCCACACCCCCAGACGGCACCCTCACCCCCCTCCCACACCCCAACCCCCTGCCCCAGCCTGGTGAAAGTGAGTGAGGGAGGGGGATGGAGCAAGTGGAGGCAGGGCCTCAGAGAAGGGGC